AAAATAACAAGTTTTGCTAAAATAACGAGTTTTGCGTAGCGAAGTAAACGAGTTCTCAGCCTAGCGAATGTTTTGATAAAAGACATTATATCGAATTATACTTGTTATAAAGGCAGAAATTATACCTTATAGATGTAAAATAATGGCAGAAAACACTAATTGAGCTGTCTCTGCTTATGATGAGAAGCTTTATTTTTGTAAAAATGTTCAAACAACACTTACCTGGAGTGTAGTAACTCTATCGCTAAACAGCAATCCCCAGTCATCTCAGCGAAGTAAACCTCAAAAATTCCCACGGTCACCCGATGAGTGATCAGTGAAAAGCTTGCCCTGATAATCTATCCTGTACTCGGGAGTAGAACCAGTGGGAGAAGTTTAGTCTTTCAAATTTTGACGCTAGTTCGGACACTTGCTGCTAAGTAGCCGTAAATATCTGTAGCTCCTTTCAAATACAGCCCAGCATTTTGCATTTTCATCTGCAAGCTTTGAGCCCTTTGTTTTTGTAATTTCCTTAGGAAAAGTGCACGTTTTCATGAGCCACAAAGGGGCCGGATTGCTCTGGACTAGAAACTTTTAGATCCTTATAATTTTTATATTAAACTAAAAAACGAACTTTGAAGCCATCGTTCACTCTAAACCGAAAGTTTAGTTTATTCAAGTCCAGTTGGCGATTGACAGTTGTCTCGAAAGCCGATCAAATTATTTTACTGGCTTATTTTAGCGTTCTTTATCAGATTACAGATGAACGCTTAGCTTCCAGGAAATATGGGATATCACTCGAGAAAGGAGAACATTTGTTTTCGATGTTAGTGCGAAGACATGGTTTACAGAAATTTGGCTTCAATGTATACCTGCACTTTCTGTGTAAGCTCCAGACGTAGCTGGAAAAAAAGCACTAATCTTAGGACCGTATTTTGCTTGGATTGCAACTTTTCCAGCTGCATTTTGTGAGCACTTTCCCAAGCTATTATAGTTAAGAAAGGGAAAACATGTTCCGTGTTTCTAACGGGTTATATAAACACGAGTTTGAAAGAACGAGAAATGCTGTGGGAACACGAGCCGCAGGCAAGTGTTTCCACAGTTTTTTCGAGTTCTCCCAAAACTTTCAAGAGTGTTTCTATACCTCGATAGAAACAGGGAGAACATGCTTTCTATTTCTTTTAGAAAACACCGCGAGGAAAAAGAGGAAAATAACTTGTTAAATTTGATTATCAAAATGTAGATTCTCTTTGCTCGCGCCACCATTACGTCAGCAGCTCGTGCTAGTTCTGTGTTTCTATCGAGTTTTATAATAAAGTTTCCATATAACGCGCGTTCTGATTGGCTGAAAGTGCGTGCTTTATCAGAGAACAGAGCACCAGTTGATGACGGTAGGTTGGCTTTGAAATTTTTGCGTCGGAATTTTGACAAATTTGCGCCAAATTAAACATCCCCTGTGATTCAGACAAACGCAATGGAAATGAGCTATTTGTCTGTAGTAAATATGGCTCACAGAGACCATTGTTAGCAACAGTAGTGTTAAAACTGTACTAAAATAAAAAGTTTTGCTAGATTCCCGCCGACAAAACACGTAACGAAATAAACAAATTCTCAACCTAAACAGCGCTTCGATAAAAGACATATATGATATATATTTGTTACGAAGGCAGAAATTATACTTAAGAAGTAAAACAATGATAGAAAACAACAATTTAACTGT